GATGAACCGCGTTAAGTGAAAGTTCGGTTCTGGCGAGGCACCGCGTATATGAGAAATCGCGTTAAGCGGGGTACAACTGTACCTGTATTCTTTCATTATATCTATGGAAAAAATGAACGAAATTGAACAACGTTCTCTGGTGTTAGCCATCTGCTGCAGGATTACCCGTTCATCAACTGGTCATACTATCACGTCCACCAAAAATGTAAAATTACACCACACCACTTCAAGAAATTTGCTTTTATTGGTAACAGATATCAAAATAAGTACTTTCTGTTTAATATGGCGAGGAGTCCGGGGGCAGAAGTTAGGTAAGATTAAGTATGTTTCTTTGCTCGATTAGGTTAGGTTAGGTTCTGTGCATTGTCGTATCAATTTTATTACTTACTATCATCTTAAGAACATAAGGAAAAAATTTGCGAAATCAAACAAATCAATCTGGTGTTAACGGTCTGGGTAATGTATGAGAACAGTACTACCACCAGAAGGAGTTGTTTGATTCCTTCATTTTTTCCACATTTTCTTATCATTATTGTAAGTATTTTAAAAGATGAGATATTTACTAGAACCTAACAGAACCTGACCTAACAAACCAAAGAAACCTACCTAACCTTACCTAGCTTCTGAGCCAGGGGGCAGACCCACCATATTAAACAGAAAGTACTTATTTTGATATCTGTTACCAATAAAAGCAACTTTATTGAAGCGTCATGGTGTAATTTTACATTTTTTGTGAACATGAGATTTGGCTCAGACTAAGCAAGTTGGTTGTAAACAAACAGAGCAGGGGCCTAGAAGGCAAGAAAATAAGACTAAAAAGAATTTAAAAAGAAAAAAGAAAAAGATTAGTACCGTATATTAATCTACACCACACCAGCTTTTTGAAGTGAGACAGATTGTATGAGTATGGAAACACAGAAGAAGGCAGAGCATTCCACAGTTTGGCTGTGTGAGGAAAGAAGGATGTACTATAATGGGTTATTCTGACCGACATCCACAAAGAAACTGTGAGCACTGCGGGCAAGACGCGTGTTACGAGTCCACGGCCTTGCCGGAGGTACACAGGATGCCAAATCTATTGAACATTGCCTGTTAAAGTACCCGTAAAAGAGAGAGAGTGAAGCAACATTGCGGCGAAGAGAAAGGGAAGAGAGATTATCAACTAATGGAGGAGAGTTAATAAGATGAAATGCCTTTGATTCCACCCTGTCTAACAGTTGGACAGAAGAAGAGCCACCCCAGATATGAGAGCAGTACCTCAAGTTAGGACAAATGAATCCCTTATAAACTTAAAGCAACTGCTCAGGAGTGAAGTAGCTACGGCATCTGTACAGCATTCCCAGCTTTTGGAAGACAGCTATCAAACATGGAGGTACTACCGCCTGGGAAGATATTGGAAGCATAATGTTTTGTCTATGGTAGATCCTGCTACCATATGGCATCACAAAAATTATGACCAAGTCCCAGGTTGCTAATCTGACTTTCTGCTTCATTTATACATGCAGGGTCTCAATTGTTTCTCTTACTTCGACAACACAACATACATACTGTATATCATTTCTTTCTATATTGATTTTGTATTTGTACTTTTTATTTATTTATTATTATTATTATTATTATTATTATTATTATTATTATTATATCCCTCCCCCTCCCCAGGCCCTGATGTGGCATATGATAATTTTTTCACTGTGTTTTACCCCACACTTTCCCTCATCCTTCATGCCCTGCCCACTACAGATGATTTATGATTGTAGATAGAGAAAAACTAATAATATATATAATTAAAATAAATAGTTGTTGCCTTTTGGGTATTATTGTATAAATCACCTGGTGTTGAATTTTGAGAATTTTATGGTTGCAATCTATAGTTCAAACAATTATAAAACACTTCTCTTCTATGACATTTCCTTCACAAATGGTTTATATATGCCAGAAGGTCCAGGGGGTTGAAGCCCCCAGTTAGGTTATTTGCGAGAGAAACGTCATAGAATAAGTGTCTTAGAATTGTCTAAAATGTCAATTTGCAGTTTCAACCAACCACAGATCTTGAGTTGCACAATGTGTTTGATAAAATTTTAATTTTGGCCACCCACCTAACCTAACCTAGCTACAGAACCCAGAAACTATATCTAACCTAACCCAATGGAAATACTATACAGTGACCCCTCGTTTAACGAAACGCCTCGGTTAACGAAATTTCGGTTAACGAACTGCCTTCCATAAGGATCTTCAATTCGGTTAACGAACAAAAATTCGGTTAACGAATTTCTTACGAACCGACCTCAACATGTTTTCGCTTGCACTCACCGGGCAACCAGCTTTAGTATCAGTCCGCCAATACATTAATCGGTTCTAGGGCTGAAATTCCTTACTATTTTAGTAAATATCAAGAAGTTTATACTATTCAATAATTTTAAAAGTTTAAAATTAACTTTTTTAGTCATTTTAACAAATATTGAACATAATTGAAGGTAAAGAAACTAGTTTCTAGCGTGCCATCCAGCCTGTTAACACACCAGACAGGCGTTAGTCTCTCTCTGTTTTCAGTGGAGGTAACATCTTGCTTGAGACTCTCTTCAACTAAACGCTTTTTTTCAGTGTTTCCAAGCAAATTATTGGTCATTTTGAAATATATTTTACATATTGACAATATATAATGCAGTGCAGTGTTGATTTAAAGAAAATAATCTTGAAATACACCAAGAGAACTAAAATTTTATGGATGAAATGGTGCCATGGGGTGACTTCTCTTCCACCCCAATGCCTTTTCTTCTTCCTTCTCCTCCACCCCCATTCTAATTCCCATCATCATCATCATCCAGGAGCCTTCTACATACACACCTCAAAATAAGTGAACTTTTCTACCATTTTTGTTGAATTTAGGAAATTATCGGTGAGCTGGAACCAATTACCCAAAAACCCATCGAAACAATGGTTTCGGTTAACGAACGACCTTCTGGAACGGATTGAGTTCGTTAACTGAGGGGTCACTGTATTAGAAAAATGTATTAGAATTGTCCAAACTACTGATTCCAATAGTTAAATTCCTATGATTCCCCAGAATGACCGAAACTAAAATAGGTTAATATTTACGACAAACCCGCAGACGAGTTATTTGTATTACTATACTGTTTTTCTTAATTTATTTTCATCGGTGAGTTCTGATATGGTAATCATTTCTTGAGTAAATGTTTCAATTTATATAAATAGACACCTAGGCTTGCACTAATTTGTCTTCCCGGCGGTAACGAGGCCGCGCTCTGCTGCGGCGCCTTTCCCCAGGCTCGCGGCAGTTTCATTTTCAGCATGATGAGTGAAGGTTGTCGCCTGTCTTATATGGACGTAATTTGAGAATTTAGGGATAAAGACAACGAGACCCTACAATTGTTCAAAGACCTCGGCATTGTTCCTTTAAATAGAGACTGTCCACACTGCGAGAATCCCTGTGCTTTCAGACCAGAAAGAAAGTTGTTCATCACTTCTTCAACGCCGTGGCTCGACATTTCCCGCCATCACAATAAATCACTCTGCCGCCCGAGCTGCATAATCACTGATGCAACCGCATGATCTCACGTCCAGAAAAAGCCTCAAATTTCAATATATCATAGTAAGTTCTTTCTGTTTAATATACTGAGAGGTCCAGGTAAGGAAGTTACGTAAGGTCAGGTAGGTTTGTTGAGCTCGGTTGGTTGGGTCTGTTTTTCATACCCACAAATGTTAAGTTATGTTTATTTTAGAAATAACCATATTTTCTACACATTTTCAGAAACTACAAAAGGGTCCACTATAATAAACAGCGAAAATCTGGAGTTTTTAAAATCGTTTTCTATCAATTTCAGCCGTAGGTTAGTCATAAATAATTACCCTAAAATAATACCTTTTTTAAATACTTACTATAATGATATAAACAAATGTGGAAAAATTGAAGAATTGGAACAACGTCTGGTGATGGTGGTTAATTACCGTGATCTGCTCCACCTAACCTTAATATCTAACCTAACATTTATACCCTGGGTCTTATCTACCCTAAAAGTGTTGTAAACGGTATTTTTGCATTTAAACATTCCACATTCCTACCACTAATCTATTATCATATTCTAATAAGACGTCTAATTATAAGATCATTTTCATCCATTACATTACCGTCGCAAATGTATAATAACGGAGATAGCGTATCCAAAATTTTCTGTATTTTCTTCCATTAATCTTCCACCATTATCACCTACCTCACCTCCCACATTGCGTGTCTCCTTGATTAATCATCACGCGCATGCGTTCCCATACACGTCGTGCGACCAATCAAAAGCGGTTTTTTTCCAACCAATTAAAATGATTTGTGGTTTAATTCGAGGTATTTTTGGCCCAACCAAAATCGATTTTTATTTTGGGTCTCATATTTCGAAATTAAACTTCATTTCCGACCATGGAAGTCCGCGATGGGTGTCACTTCAATTATATGGAGCTGATTGGGAGTTTTGGGGAAAAAAGCGAAGAAACTATAGCATTTTTTCGATTGCATGGTGTTCTTCCAACCTCAGTAAAGTGTACTAAGAGCAGGACTGAATGTTAATATCACAAGGAACAACCATATGTGGCGTTGGGTAAGAGTCTCAGAATCCAACGACGAGCAAGAACCAGCCCAATAAGGTAAGAAATAGGTGATTCCATCATATGGTGAGTCAGTTAGGTTAGGTTTGGTTTTTGTTTTCTAGTGTTTTTTGATGTATTTTTTATTCGCTTAGCTATTTTTTTTTTTTTCGGAAAACGTCCCACGAAAACAAAAATCGATAAAAAAACGGTAAATTTCCGACGGAAAGGAAGGTCATATTCGGTCTAAACACACAAATACACTAGAAAAATAATACCAAATATATTTTTGACTTGCTAACAGAGTGGGAGGTGGAAGTGCAAATTTACCTTGTTAACAACCCTATCATGGTGCTCTAGGGCCCAACACACTGAGGGTCTGTATCAATATTAACTTCTTAAAATAATACCTGTAGCTGCTGTCATATCCGTTTATGTCAACTGATTGCTTGAAGTCAATTATTTTTTCAAGACAATAATGAAACAAGAAAGTACTTATAAACAGACTGAACAAAGTACAGTAATTGTTTTCTGATGCTAAAGTAAATACAAGATTCATAATCTCGCAGGGTCAATAATTATTTTATCAAGCAACAATTTCTAAAGCAACAACATTAAATATATATCATGTATATTTAAATTCATTAACTACAACGTTTTTATTTTCCCTGTATTTACTCTATAAGAACTCATATGTATAATAAATCTCAAACTATTTTAACCCACAGGTCCACAAGACTAATATTCTCGCAGGATCAAAGATAATTACAATCTCAAATCATAATTTCAACATATACCAAATTAAATATAGCTTATGTAAATTCATATTCATTATAAATGCCACAGGATTATTTAATTATATGATTATTTACTTTACAAGAAATTAGAAGTAAAACATCCAAAAAATATTTTAGCCCACAGTTTCCTCCAGGGAAAGTACATAAGAACATAAGAATGGAGGAAACTGCAGCGGGCCTATTGGCCCATACTGGGCAGTCCCGTTTACACCCAACCCCTATTGCTCATATGAGCATCCAACCTATGTTTGAAGCAATTCAGCGTATTCGAGTTAATGATGATATTTGGTAACTTGTTCCATTCATCCACTACTCTGTTTCCAAACCAGTGTTTACCTATTTCACGCCTAAATCTAAATTTGTTTAATTTAAAACCATTGTTACGAGTTCGCTCCTGGTTGGATAATTTGAGTACCTTTGTAATGTCCCCTTTGTTTAGCCCTGTCTTCCACTTATACACCTCTATCAGGTCGCCCTCGCTCTACGTCTCTCGAGGGAGTGCAAATTAAGATGCTTTAACCTGTCTCTATACTCAAGGTTCCTAATGCCCGGGATTAGTCTTGTCATTCTCCTCTGAATTCTTTCCAATGATTCTATATCCATCCTGTAATACGGTGACCAGAACTGAACTGAGTAATCCAGGTGTGGTCTCACAAGAGCAAGATACAGTTTTAGGATGACCTCGCTAGTCTTGTAACTAACACTCCTTTGTATGAACCCAAGTACTTTATTAGCCTTGTTACGAGCAAAAACACATTGTTTACTTGGCTTAAGGTTCCTACTTATCATTACTCCTAAATCTCTCTCGCAGTCGGATTTCTCTATGGCATCGTTGTTCATCTGGTATCTGGTTTCCCTGTTTACATTTCCTATACTGAGTACTTTACATTTGTCGATGTTGAATTTCATCTGCCATTTTTCAGACCATTCGAAAAATTTGTTTAGATCCTCCTGTAGTTTTGCCGAGTCCTCGTCAGATTTGATAACACGTCCTATTTTAGTATCATCAGCAAATTTACTTATGTTGCTGTCTATGCCGATATCTATGTCGTTTATGTATATAATAAACAATAATGGTCCAAGTACTGAGCCTTGGGGAACTCCACTTGTGACGTTGCTCCAATGGGACTTAGTGCCGTTAATGCTCACTCGCTGTTTCCTGTCCTGTAACCACGCCCTAATCCATTTAAGGATGTCACCTTTGATGCCATGAGCTTCTACCTTTCTAATTAGTCTTTCGTGGGGACTCTGTCGAAGGCTTTGCTAAAGTCGAGATATACCACATCATAATTGTGCCCTCGTCCACTGATTCGAAAACTGATGAAAAGAATGTTAATAGATTAGTTAGGCAAGAACGTCCGCTTGTGAAGCCATGCTGGGAATCATTGATCAATCGGTGCTTCTCCAGGTGATTTCGAATAGAGTTTGAAATGATTGCTTCCAGTAATTTGCCTACTATTGATGTTAGACTGATTGGGCGGTAGTTAGAGGATAGTGATCTATCCCCTTCTTGAAAATCGGTATTACATTCGCTATCCTCCAGGATTCTGGTACTACACCTGTTTTTAAGGACATGTTAAACAACTTTGCTAAGTGGCATACTAAGCTCTTCCTTACATTCCTTTAATACTCTGGCAAATATCTCATCGGGACCAGGTGACTTATTAGGCTTTAGTTTGTCTATTTGCTTACTAACATCGTTACTAGTCACTACTATCTCACTTAATTTGTTTTCTTCACTATCTCTGAATAGAGTCGGTGCCTCGGGTATCATGTTTAGATTTTCGGTGGTGAAAACTGTTGAAAAATATTTATTCAAATTATTGCTCATTTCTCCGTCGTTATCAGTGAGCTCGCCGGAGTCTGACCGTATTGGTCCAATCTTTTCTCGTGTTTTAGTTTGATACATTTGGTAGAATCCTTTGGGGTTTGTCTTCGCCTCCCTTGCTATCCTTACCTCATTATTCCTCTTTGCTTTCCTTATCTCGGTTTTAACTCTACTCGCCAATACCCTATAATAGTCCCGGAGGTGAATTTCGCCACGATTTATCCTTCTACCTATAGCCTTCCTTTGGCCAATGATGTTCTTTAAATAATTATTTATCCATTTAGGGTCATTGTTGTCTGATCTGAGTTTTTTGTATGGTATGTTCTGCCTTTGTGCATTAAGTAACTCACTATTTAAATTATCGTGGAACTCGGCAATCTCAGATCTCGTTATCAGGTCGGTGTCATCTGTCAGGTTCACGGCCAAGCGCGACACCCCCTCTCTCAGCTGCCTCTTTAAACTGTCAAAGTTTGCCCTTCTGAAATCTGGTACTTAGTGGAATTTTCCTTACGTCTGCCCTGAAAATCTAACTGGAATCGAATTTCTTTGTGATCGCTGTTTGCAAGTTCGTTCCCTACCTCGACATTGCTAATGAGGTTTTCTCTGTTCGTCAGAACTAAATCCAGTATATTATTACCCCGTGTGGGTTCGGTTATATGTTGACTTAGGAAACAGTCCTGGATCGTCTCGAGAAAATCCTCTGATTCTGAGTTACCCGTAAGGACAGTCCAATCTATTTGGCCAAGGTTAAAGTCGCCTACTATACAGACTTTGTTGTGTATGGAAGCCCTGCGCATTTCATCCCAGATAAGTCGCTCATTGACGCTATCAAGATTGGGGGGTCTATATATTACCCCTGTGATTAATTTTTCCCGACCGTCGCTTAATTCTATCCAAATTGTTTCTGTATTCCTCTCAGTTTTTATTTCCTTATTTATTTCACACTTCAGATTATCCCTAACATAGATTGCTACTCCGCCTCCTTTCCTGGTCTGCCTATCGGTATGGAACAGTTTGTAACCCGCAATTTGGTATTCGACTGGTAATTCACGTGGTGTCTAGGTTGATCCATGTCAGCGTGAATGCAATTATATCGATTTCTTCGGTACATACCAAGGCCTTAATATCATCCATTTTGTTTCTCATACTTCTACTGTTCGCGTAGTATACATTTAAGTTAGTCGTGTTCTGAGTCTTTCCCTTACCGCGTTTAGTTTTAAACTCCCTGTCTAATTTAGTTTTGTCATCATTCCTAACACTATTTCCCTGTAATCTTTCGCCTTGTTTACCTGCTCCCACTGCAGTCTCCTCCACCCCCGTGCCTTTATGTTCTCTTAGTTTTAAAGATCTCCCTGATATCTTTTGAACTGCCCCCTCTAGAGCCCTTCAGCCAGGGTTGCTACTCCATCCCTAGACAGGCACCGATCCCCAGCAGCAAAGGTCCCTTCTGCCATAGAAGTTGTCCCAGTTGTCAATGAATGGGACTGATATTGACTTGCAATATCTGTCAAGACGGTCGTTAACACCAACTGCCCTTGACAACCATTCACTGCAAACTCTCCTTTTAGGCAGGACACCTCATATGATAGGGATCCCTCCCTTAGTCCTAATACGATCTATGGCTGCCTTGAACTTATCAAGAAGTTCCTCGCTCCTACACCGGCCAATATCATTGCCTCCTGCACTGAGGCAGATAATGGGTTTGTTCCCATTACCAGACAAGATATTGTCCATCCTGTCAATTATATCCCCCACCCCAGCTCCTGGCAAACACACCCTCATCCTATTTTTGTTTTTACCACAAAAGGCCCTGTCCATGTACCTTACCTGTGAGTCACCAACAATTAAAGTTTTTATACCTTCCTTGTTATCCCTGCCCCTGACTGTACTAACGTCCAATTCGTCTATCAAGGGACTGAACGGGTTGGTACACTTAGCTGTTGTTGTCGTTGTTGTCGTATCCTTCGAGTGCTTCTTGACCACCAGCTTGGTCCTCCCACTACTCACGACTTTCCACTCGTTTGATTTTTCGTCAGACACTGGCTTTACTCGTCCAGCCTCTCCTTTTAACTTCGCCAGCTCTTTCCTTAATTTCAGGTTCTCCAACGTGGCCCTCTCAATTTCTAACTTGGCCCTCGCCAATTCTTCAGTGGACCACTCCAGTTTGGTCAACAAACTCTCATACCCAAGACCGCACATATCACTGGCCATATCTGATAATTATCCCTCTGGAGCTAACCCTGCCGTGACCTTTCCCCTAGTGAGGTCAGAACACAACACGTATATAGGAGGAAGCGCGTCGTAGACAACAGAATACTTGCTAAGAATATTGTGTAACTATTTAGATGATAGGAGAGCACAAATTCAAATTGGAAACTTTTTAGGAACTATGTTTAATCTTGAGAGTGGAGTACCTCAAGGAGGATGCCTTTCTCCAACACTATATACAATTTATACTTCAGACACACCTCAACCTACCCCCTTTAGTGAATATGTAATGTTTGCTGATGATATTACTCAAATAGTATCATACCCAGGAAAATCAACTCAATTTATGGCACTCTACACGGTAAGAGCGATAAAAACATAAATGATTTTGAGAAAAATGGAAAATCAGGACAAATAAGAACAAATTCAAGATAATACCAATAGCCAAGATTAAAAAAGTCCAGTAATAGTCGACCAGGAACTATACCCATACGACACTGAAGGTAGGATGCTTGGATTAAAACTAACAAAGAGGATATATAACATACTTAAAAGATAAAGAACGACAGGCAAGAATAAGATTATCAAAAATAAAACGCTTTAAGAACCTTAGCATTAATAACAAAAGAAAGATTTATATTGCCTTTGTCAAATCAATTATGGACTACCCACCCATCCCATTGAACACCCTTAGTAAAACGTGCATTAAAAGGTTACAAACAGTACAA